GTGCTTCGAGTGCCTGTGAGAGAGAGAGAGAGAGAGAGAGAGAGAGAGAGAGAGGGGGTACGTGGGTTTAGGGGGTTTGGGGGGGTTTAGGGTTTAAGGGGGTTCGGGGTTTAGGGTACATGAACTCAAATAAAGCTTCGAAGCATCCGTGCTTCAAGCATCGCCAGCTCATGAAGTGCAGCCTCCCGATCAAAAGGAACCTGCGGAGGGCCCCGGCCATTGGCATGATCCTCGCTCGTTCCCAGCTCCTTCTTAACCACCTTCATTGGTGAATCGACCACCAGAAGCACTTCCTTCGTCACCACATTCATCGAAACCGGTGATGGGGTCAGCTTCCCATCAAGTGGGATGCTGGGGTTCACTAGCCGCTCTGGTGTCTCTATCTCTGTTGGGGCCAAGGAAGCACTGCTTGCCAAACTCACCATGGACCTGCGGCTGTCATCATGAAAGGGCCTTCTCCCACTGTCGAAGCTATGGGCCTTGCTGGGCGGATTCACTGCCTTGCTGTGCGGATTCACTGCTTGCTCATGGGGATTCACTGCCGTGCTGGGCGGATTCACTGCTTGCCCTGGCTTCTTGCCTTCTTTTCGATAAGATGCTGGATCCAACGAGAATCCCAGCAATCTTTCCAGCTCTGCCCGGGGAGGGGCCTTCAAGCAAGCCTCCCGTGGTGACGGCACCAACTCTCGATTGGGCGGATTCACTGCCTTGCTAGGGAGATTCACTGCCTTGCTGTCGGGATTCACTGCCTTGCTGTCGGGATTCACTGCCTCGCTGAGGGGATTCACTGCCTTGCCAGGGGGATTCACTGCCTTGCTGCGGGGATTCACTGCCTCGCTGGGAAGATCCTCTAGTGGGATTTCTTCATCCACTTCCAACTCCTCTTCCTCCTCCCCTTCATCATTCTCCTGCATGGCATCATGAACACCTGCAGCTTCATCTTCCTGCACATCCCAACGGGTCTTCTTACCACCGGAGCTGTAGTTCTCCTTACCAGCAATCTGCGACATTTTGCAAAACATGCATGCACCCATTAACTGCATGCAGGTAAGAGGCCTTCTCACCCCAAAATCTCAGCACATCCGCGAAGTCCCAGTTCTGAGCACACATGCAGATCGAGCACTACAAGGCCAACACCAACACCACATGCATGCATCAATACCTCGATCAAGCCGCCTCAAACTCCAAATTCAGTTGTATAGTGCAACAAAGTGTCTTTGATACTGCCCATGTTCCCATTCTTGATCTTAAGAAAGCGGTGGCGGGCGTAGCTCAGGAGGCGTTTCAGGGTCTTGGCATCAAGGTGAACGTTGCCTTGTACCAATTCCAAACTGGCCTGCAACAGTGCCTGAGGTTTTTTCCCATTCTTTTGCTTCTGGTTGAGGCGGCATTGGTGCAGAAGCATCAGCTCTGACTTCAGGGATTCGAGGTCTGGGATGTCCAATGATCTAGCCCTGCGCATCCGAATCATGTATGGCTGTAGCAGGCACCGGTTTTCCACACAATGCATTTCGGAAGCTTCTGCAAAGAGCCCATCCCTGCTATGAAAAAGGCGCCCTCCTTGATCCACACGTGCCATGATGGTCCTGTCCTTCAGCCAGCACTGGTGCAAATTCTCCATTGGAGCGGCCTTTGCCATGGCCCCAAAAGGTGGAGCAACCACTGTAGCACTGCACGAGTCTGCACGATAATTACAAGCACTAGCTGCATGCATGCACTCCTTAACCGGAATTGTCTGCACATGTTTGTCGCTGCAAAGTGACCTCTGAAAAGCCACGTGTATTGTCGCTGCAAAGGGACCTCTGAAATGCCACATGTGTTAACTGTGAGGAAAGACAGCTATGGAGCGGGGGTTTAGCAACCCAGCCAAGAGCACATGTCACATCCAAGCAGACAAAGCACCATGCACAGCCTGTGCACAGCAACAAAAGCGGCATGCAATCGTGGGAAAGGGCGCACCTCCAACATTCTGAATTCGCCCACCATGAAGAGCACGGCGGATTTAATTAGACTTCGGCATCTAGCACTATATAATTTCTCGCAGATAGGGGCTGATTTAAGGACTGCAGGAGGCTTATATATGTGCTACGTGGTGTATAGTACACTGTCCATGCCTGTTTGTAAATTTAGCATGCGTGTGAGCACAATTTAAACCCTGAGAAGAGCCTTAGAAACCCTTTAAAGACCCTCTATATATACGTAGACCAGAGTACACACACACACACACCCTATATAAATGTATGTAGAATATGCCAATCTCGTATGTGCCTCTGCGCTGGCCAAAGCTGACAGGATGCAGCGGGGCCTGGCGAAAACCCTGAACCCGAACCCCCCGAAACCCCTATATCAGCCCCCCAAAGCCCCTATATAAACCCAGCCCAAACCCCAAGACCCCAGCGAATCCCCCGAAACCCCTATATCAGCCCCCCAAAGCCCCCTAAAGCCCTATAAACCCACCCCAAACCCCAAAACCCCAGCGAAACCTGAATTCAACCCGTAACAACCCCTGAACTCCTTCATAAACCGCAGAGCACCAAACCCAGGAGCAATACCCCATACCACCATGCAGCTAAAAGTACGTGCAGCAGTATAGACAAAAGCCAACACTCCTAAATCCACTAATTAAAACCCGGCCTATATAGGAATCGACTAATTAAGCCCCCCAAACTACACCCCCACACCCTGAACCCCCTAAATCCCGGCCTTTGTTAAGCCTTGTAAAACCCTTATATACGGGCCCTTGTATAAGCCCAATGACTCCGAAACCTCGAAGCCCAAATCCTTGAACACCTATGAACCCGGCCCTATATAACCTCGAAACCCAACAAACCCCAAATAGCCTTTAAAAAGTAGTCCGCCCAAAAATGTATCCCGCAGCCACGAATCAAACCTGACCTCAAAAAAGTAGTCCGCCCGAAAAAGTAGACCGCAGCCCCGAATCCAACCTAACCTCCAAAAAGTAGCCCGCCCCAAAAAGTATTCCGCACCACCACAGACAAAAAAGCAACATGCACCAAAAAGTAAACCTGGAATCCGAAAAGTTAGACTTTTTAGTGAGGATGAAAAAAAGTATACCAACGCACTTACTGGGAGCGATATATGATGCAGCACACGACTGACACGCATCGGCTTCTTTTGGAACGCGCAGCGATTCATTGAACTGTCTGTCACGTATCCAATGTGTCTCAAAGCGTCGAAACCAAAAAAAACAAAACCAAAAAAAAACAAGAAAATAAAACCAAAAAAACAAAAAAATCTTTCAGAACTCATGTTATTCTGGAAGAGCACTGAACTAATGTTTTTTTTTTTTTTTTTTTGGTTTTGTTTTTTTTGGATTGGGTTTTATAGGTTTGTGAAAGGAAAGGGGCTGGTGTTTCGTAGGGTTCGAATTACGACAACGCCCCTAAGCGCCAGAGTTGATAGTGATGTCGTGGGGAAGGCGGACCTGAACTGCGCAAAACGCAGTGGTCGAGTTCGGCCCCCGAACCGAATAGCGATTTGGGGGTGGTCTATTGTCGCATAGCAGGAATCCTACAGCAACCCAAAGCTTCCTACGGTTGATGATGTAAATCCTGCATTACCTTAAGGACCCTAAACTATGGGAAATATCGTATATTCCTTATTATTGGTAATGCAGGATTTATATCATCAACCGTAGGACCGTACAGTTTGGGTCCTAGACTCCTCAAGGATCCAATCATAAGGACCATGGAAGCATACTGTAAGGAATGATCCAGGTACTGAGGGTTTCTATGTTGCAGCCAACTTCGCCCCGTTAGAGGCTCCAAAAGCCAAGGGGTTTAGGGTTCAAGAGGTTTATAGTAAATCCCAAACAGTTGGAAATCGTTAAGGTCAACTAGTGCTGGGATTCTCTATACTTATACATTACTCTTAAGGTTTGAGGCTATTGGGATTTCAACTTTGGGGCTTCTACTGTAGCTTAAACCCTGAAGTCACCCCAAGTCCGAAGTCCCAGGAAAGGAGTTGATCCAGGGATAAGCCCCCGTCCTTTTGTGCGGAATTTAAAGGTTTAGGGTTTAGGGTGTGTGTTCCGGGCTTTGGGCTCTAGGGCTTTCGGGTTCAGAGTTTGGGCTTTTGGCTTTACCTACGGTTGGTGATATGTTGGTGATATAAACCCGGCATTACCTTAAGGACCCTAAACTATGGGAAGTATGGCATATTCCTTATTATGGGTAATGCAGGATTTATATCACCAACAGCAGTTGCTGAGTTCACAAGCCCCGAAAATGTACACTTTCAGGCTTGTAGTGGGTAATATTACCCCTAAAAGTGTAAAGTGTATCCACTCAGCTACTAATTTTAAGGTTAAGGTTTGGGTTTTAAGGGCTTGCGGGGCGCAGGGTTTGTGACAAAGTTTGTGGCTTGCCCATGGCATAAAGATTTCCGAAACTTAAAGCTGCCCTCAAAAAGCTGGATATATGGGGATACCTCTACGAAGTGGGTTTGGGCTTAACTCGTTTCTCCTACCGTCCGTCGAAGACTCAGATGCGATTGCAGCCTACATGTACAGCCTGAACGCTTAGCCCAAATTCACCAGTACCACGTCAATATTGTGAGGGGCTCTCTTTAAATTTATGATTCAAGCAGTTCCTTCATTAAGCATTACTGGGCTCTTCGGCGGGTACCAAACCATGCGTGCCTTTACGCATCCTGATCCCAACCCCGTATAAACGCCTGAACCCGATGAAGCCAACCTTTCAAAAGTGTTTTTGGTTGCATCTCACTAGACTATCCGCTCCCGGATTCAACTGTCAAGCAGGTTTGCCATATTATAGGGACCCTATAAGCCCTAAACCCTGAACCGTAAACCCCTAGACCCTAAACACTAAACTCAAGGAGGGTACATAATAATCAGCAACTGAATATGTTAAACCAGCTTAAACTTCATTCTTCTGCTTCTGGGGTGCAGGTGTAAGGTTGGGATTGAGGGTCAGAGTTGAAAAGGGCATTTAGCCTGAGCTGAACCAAATTCGAGCGGCGGTTCGAGGTACGTATTTCAGGCGGCTCAGATTCTCCTTGTAGGACGGCATATGCGTCGTAGAGAGCCTCTGAGCAAGTCGTGCGAAAACTCCCGCGGCTTTCCCGCTACAGCGTGACATGGGTGGTTGTCAAAACTATGGCCCCTTTTTGGGAACCCTAAAGATTAGGTGCCGTACTATAATCAGGACCCAAAAAGGCACCATAATTTTGGCAACCACCCACATGACCTGAACACCCTAACCCTAAACCCTAAGTCCTAAACCCTAAACCCTAACCCCAAACTCTAAACCTTAACCCTAAACCCTAAACCTTAAACCCTAACCCGACACCCAAACCGACACAGCGCTAAGCTCCCCCAAAGTCTGTGAAGCTACTGCAGTCTAATATAGGGGCCTGAATAGGGGTCATTCTGTAGGCTTTAGGGTTCCTTTAAAAGGGGTCTATATGGGCTTTTATAAGGGCTAATTACTATGAGGATTTGGTATAGGGGCCTTAGATAATTACCTATACGATTTGTGGGGGCTCCTTATGATAGTTATAGTACAATGGGCCCAAAACCCTATTCCAATTGTTAAGGCCCCTATATCATAGAACCCTACCATTGATCCCCAATAGAACCCCTTTAAAGGACCCCTTAACCCTAAACCCTAAACCCTAAACCCAATAGAACCCCTTTAAAAGGAAACCCTACTCCAACGATTAAGTCCTTTGTATTACCTCCTGTTGTGGGGACCCTGGGCTTTGAATTTCTCCCTAAACCCTACTTGGAGGGTCAGGGGACTTAGTAACTATAAGGGGTTCCTTTAGGGTTCCCTTAAAGGGATCTATAGGGATTCTGTAGGGGTTTAGGGTTTAGGGTTTAGGGGACTTAGTAACTGGTTATTTTTGGGACTTATAAGCCCCAGAACCCCAATTAGGGTCCCTTTTAAGGTACTTACAAGTCTACTTACCACCTACTTACTAAGTCCCCCGACCCTCCAAGTAGGCTGACCAGCCGTTTGGGGTTTAGTAATTATCTGGAGTTGGAATATGGTTTCAGGGTAGGATACCTTATAATTTACCATAAAGGGTTTAGGATAATCATATTCCAACTTTCTGGCTTTTACTTTAAACCGAGGGATTGGGGGTCCTGGAAGCTCGTCCCTCGGGCAGTTAGGGGTGTATTCAGGCACTGTCTACTGCTGCCGTTCCTGTGGGCTCCGTTTTGGGGCTTACCCATAGGCTCCATAGCAGTTCCTTTTTGGGATTACCTTATAGGATTCTACATATGAACTGCAAAAAGGAACTACTGAACTACTATGGACCCTCTAGGTAGGGTTTAGGGGTGCTTTCGAATTATTGCGGCATCTGTGTCCACACAGAAAGAAAGCCTTTCGCGTCTGAGTACCTGTCCATCTAAGCATCTATCTGAAAGGGCTGACGTCGAGCCCTGGATTTTTGAACCCTTCCTTAATCATCATCAGGCTTCTGATAGGGATCCTATTATTAAGGCCTTGGAAGCAGGGGAGTATAGTAATTATAGGGGTCTACATCAAACCCTAAACCCCGAAACCCTAAGGCAGTGTCGAACCCTAGAAGGTCCTTTTGATTGTAGGGCCCTCAAGGAGCCCCAAAACCATCCGAAATCCTAAAATCAGCAAGCATCATTGTCTCCAAAGAGACCCAAGAGCCCCAACACAATCCCGTATCCCACCCAAGGAGAAAGTTACTCGCAATGCTACCTGGACAGCAATTGCTGAAAGTGACATGTTCGAGGACTCATTTTTTTCAAAAGCAGCACTGCAAGTTTTAAACCCCAAACCACCAAAAACTGAAACCCTAAACCAAACATCCCTCCTAGGCCCCCAAAATACACCCAAATATTCCCCAAATACCCACTGTTAAAGGCCATAAGGACTCGACTAAAGGGCCCTTGGAGGAGGGTCCTGGCTGTACCTGTAACCCTAAACCCCAAAACCAAAAACCCTAAACCCGACCTTTGGTTAGTAGGGAATGGAAGAATGGTAGTAGTAGTAGTAGTAGTAGTAGTAGTAGTAGTAGTAGTAGTAGTAGTAGTAGTAGTAGTAGTAGTAGTAGTAGTAGTAGTAGGAGTAGTAGCAGTAGTAGTAGTAGCAGTAGTAGTAGTAGTAGTAGTAGTAGTAGTAGTAGTGGTAGTGGTAGTGGAAGTGGAAGTGGAAGTGGTTATAATTGTACCCCATTCCTCCATTCCCTACTAACCAGAGGCAAGAAGCCCTGTAAAGGAATCCTAAATCCCTAGAGGTCCTGTTAAAGGAACCCTATAGATCCCTTTACATAAAGGAGCCCTATTCCAAACCCTAAACCCTGAACCCTAAACCCCATCTTCGCGAACCCCGTGCTCTCCACGGCCCAAAGCCAGCCTTCATCTCGTGCAGTTGAAGGGTCAATGCCTCACTTTTTGATTTAAAGGGAACTCCAGAAAGTTGGAATATGGAATAATGGCAGGATCCCCTATATGTTACCTTAAAGGGATTATGATAATCATATTGCAACTTTCTGGCTTCTACTGTAAGGCTTTAGGATCCCCTTTTTGGTTTAGGGCTTTAGGTTTCCTTTTAAAGGGAAACTCTGAGGGTTTAGGGGTTTAAGGCTTAGGGCTTAGGGGTTTAGGGTTTAGGGCTTAGGGGTTTAGGGCTTAGGGGTTTAGGGTTTAGGGCTTAGGGGTTTAGGGTTTAGGGCTTAGGGGTTTAGGGTTTAGGGGTTTAGGGGTTTCGGGTATCCGGGTTCAGGGGTTAGGGTTTACGGTTTAGGGCTTCAAGGTGTCACGGTTTGGCTTGTCACTGCAAGGTTTCTTTTGCTTTGATTCTTCGGGCTTAGAAGTATGGTAAACCACAAAAAATTGGAAACCGGATTAAGGACAATAGTGCTGGGATTCCCTAAACATGACTCTTAAGGATTGAGGATATTGGGCTTCCAACTTTGGGGCTTCTACTGTAGGCCATACTTCAGCCCTAAAGAGCGTGGATCAATCAGCCTACCATAACCTCAAAGCTCTAAACGTCTACACCTAAAGCGTAGGGTTCTAAGACCCTGAACTCTGAATCCCTGTCCCGCGCTCTATGAGGGTCGAGGGCTTCATATCTTATTTGGGAAATCAGTTAGAGAGTTAGTGCATGCATCTTCTATCGTACTTGGGGGCTTAAGAACTGTAGAGCTCATACTATAGAGGGATCTATGTATCTAATTATGCAGTTTATCGTATGGCCCTGACATACCTGACCTTGACAGAAAACTGCGCGCATATAGCATACAGGAAGGTGGACATTCATGACTTGTATTTTATGGATTGCCCTTGCCAGTCTCGCGCACCTGACCCTGTAACTGTACCTAGAAGCCCATTTAGAAAGTTACCTTTCATGACACGCTGTCGCAAAGTTATTCTGTTCTGGGTGCTGTACGGTTTATACAGAGTGTAAGGACAAGGAACCCGGTACAGAGGTGGCTGGGTGTCTAGGCTTGACCTACACCCTCCAATGTAGTTCCTTCTCTGGCTGCCGTATTCTCTGATTCCAGAACCCTCACAACCCCATTAAATCGATACACGCTCCTTGGGAATCCTAAACCCTAAACCCTAAACCCTAGACCCTAAACCCTATACCCTAAACCCTAAACCCTAAACCCTAGACCCTAAACCCTAAACCCTAAACCCTAAACCCTAGACCCTAAACCCTAAACCCTAGACCCTAAACCCTAAACCCTAAACCCTGCACGTCGAGGGTTTGAAGCCTCTTGGGGCCGGTGGGGCTTCCAGCTCCAAGCTTGAACGCGGAAATCATGTAATACACTTGGAGGCCCTTTTGACTTAGTAAGTAGGGTTAGTAAGGTAAGTTATGGGGATTATAATAGGGGTTCTAGGGGATACTAAGTAGACTTACTAAGTCAAAAGGGCCTCCAAGCAGGGGCCTTAATAATTAGAATAGGGGTCTCCTTTGAGGGGTCCTTGAAATGGGTTCTATAGGGGATCTATAGCAGGGTTCTATGATATAGGGGCCTTCATAATTCGATTAGGGTTTTGGGGTCCATTCTACCGTAATTATGATAAGGGATCCCAAAACAATATAGGTAGTTATTAAGGCCGCTACATTATATATAAAGCCCTGAGAAAACCATGGTCGTGTGGTCCGAAATTGGAGCTCCAATTCCCCCTACTGTTCCGGCTGATGCTACGACGACGACTACGACAGCTGACGACGACTGGTGCGAGCACTATAGCACTAGTACTACAGTATGAGGAACAATACTAATACTGATACTCGTACATACAGTACTAGCACTCATCCGACTACAGGTGCTGTCCTAGTCCTGGTATACGAATGCTAGTACCAGTATCAGTACCATTACCAACTAGTATCAGGTCTATACGAGCAGAAGAACCAGTAGTACCAGCAACAGCACCAGGACCAGTACCACTTCTACTTCTACTACTAACTAGTACTAGTACTCCTAGTCCTACTCCGGCTCCAGCTCCTGCTGCTGGTTGATGCAGGTGCTTTGATGACTCGACGAGCGCGTCGCGGCCTTTGACAGCTTAAGTATACAGCGAATAAGAGAGGATACTCGTATGTACAAAGTCTTCAGACCATTGTGGAAAACGAACCTCAGCAACGCACAAGTACGATGTACGCAACTGTAGGCAATACCCACCCCCCGTGATAGGCATAGTCCCCAAAAGCCTTGCTCCGCATGTGCAGCTCTGAGAGAATGTCCACTGATGCCGGGGAAACGGTCCTTGGGTTCAGGCCAGCAGATCCCTTGTTGTTGCGGTTGGGCTGAGTTTTAACATACCCGTTGTTGTTACATCATACCTTTAAGTGATGACAACCTGACCTTAACCTACCAAAACCTACTTTTTTGTAGGGTCCCTATAAATTCCATATTAAGGTATATAACTAGAACCTACAAAAAAATAGGGTTTGGTAGGTTAAGGTAGTCCGTCACACTCACCCCACAACTGGTTTTTACCCGGGCATTCAAACAAATCTCAGAAGGATCGATCGGTCTTCCAACGGTTTACAAGGTCTGCGGTTTGAAAATTAGGCTGGGTGTCGATTTGAACACTGCCGAAAAAACTCCAACTTGGGCTTTACATTACACAATAAGGAAATCCAAAATCGATACTTAGTCGAGTTTAGGATAGTTTACCCAGAGGCCCCAAAGTAGTTCCTTTTTGGAGTTACCCTGTAGGATTCTATATATTGAACCCCAAAGAGGAACTACTTTGGGGCCCTTGGGTAGAGCTCCTGGTGGCTCCAAACCCAGGCGCCTCTAGCACAAAGCCATGCAAGCCGATAAAACCGAAACCGCAAAAACCGTAAACCCAAACTTATGAACATCTCATGTGGGTGGTTGTCAAAATTGTGGTTCCTTGTTTGGTCCCGACTATAGTACGGCACCTAATATTTAGCGCACCCCAAAAGGGGCCATAATCTTGACAACTATCCATGTATGGGCCTGACAAGCTCGAATAGGGTTTTGGGGTATACTATACCATAAATACAATTTGGAACCCCAAAATAGTGTTGGTAATCATAAAGGCCCCTGCATTTGCGGCAAGACCAGATCACCCCTCACCTGGCTCATGGTTCCGGGCTTGCGTGTGCGCGACCTATGCGCATCCTCACTGTTTCTTGATTTGGAGTCTTAGAACATACTTGGAGGTTCAGGGGTACATAGTTATAAGTGGACTATACTTATAACTCATATTAGGGGGCCTTATCAGCCCATTTTTAACTACCCATGAACCTCCACGTAACTTTTAACGACCGGACTGGCTGGGCCCCAGCCTAGAGTCTCGCCGAGACTCCCCACGTTGTTCAGGACCAGGGCCTTGCAAACGCGGGACCTAATAATAAGGCCCTTTTTAAGGAAGTATAGTCCCCTACCCTCCTCCCCTACCCCCCTAAGACCCCCGTAAATCTTCTAATGTCTCTTGGAGGCAAAGCACATGCATGGGTTTCGCGGGCGTAGATTCAAGGATTGCAGAGCTTGGCCGCACCCGGAAACACAAGGGGCCGACCCAAAACAAGTTCAAGCCTCAAGCTTCAAACCCCCAACACGAAATCGCCAGCTGCAGCTGTTCATGCAACAATAGACTCACACAACATAACGGCTTCGCGGTGAGGGCGTGCAACGTCCCCGTCGTAGTAGCAGTAGCAGTAGCAGTACTGCCACTGCTGATACTACTAGTACTTCTACTACCACTACCACTACCACTACCACTACCACTACCACTACCACTACTACTACTACTACTACTACTACTACTACTACTACTACTACTACTACTACTACAGTGAAAATACTGTATAAGAACCCACTGTTTAAGAACCTGAGCCCCTACCCAAGGCGGAATTCACCAGATTCAAGTTGCCTCAATATTTAGAACCTTAGGGTACCCTAGTTTTTTGGGTCAAGTTCTTATTTTTTTGTGTGCTTTCCCTCACCAAGGAATTTTAGAATCGAAACCTAAATTTCCAAACCTTCCCTTGCCACCAAAACGTGGAAATTTAGAATTGGAATCTAAATTTTCAACACCAGCCCCTTCCTGGCCCTGTGGTCTCCGACCCACACGAACGGCATCAGGAAATTTAGAATCCAAAAGAAAATTTCCAGCCTTCCTCCAAGCCCCAAAAACCCACCCCGGGAAGAACACAAAACAATTCAGCACAGCACACCCGCAGCGCAGTGGTTCTGCATGGGCCCTACTGCGGGAGGTCTTTGTTTCAATCCCCGGGGTCGAAGAGCTGTGGAAATGTAGAATTGAAAACTAAATTTTCCAGACCCCCATGGCCCATCCACCCCCACAAGGAAAGTTAGAATCCAAAAGTAAATTTCCCGAGACCTCGGTCCGGATAAGAACGTGGTTAAGAACCGGAGCCTACCCTAGCTGCTCGAACGGCAAAATCACATGTAATGGAAATTAAGAACCTTAGGGTACTCTACTCTCGCCGAACGGGGTTCTTATACAGGGTTTTCACTGTACTACTACTACTACTACTACTACTACTACTACTACTACTACTACTACTACTACTACTACTACTACTACTACTACTACTACTACTACTAGTGCTAGTACCAGTACCAGTGCTAGTGCGAGTGCTAGTGCTTGCGCTAGTGCTAGTAGTACTAGTACTGCCAGTAGTACTAGTACTACAGTAGTACTAGTACTACAGTAGTAGCAGGAGCAGGAGGAGTAGCAGTTCTTCATTGCATCTCGTTCTATCTTTTCTTTACCTCGTTACTTCTTCTTTCGATCGTTCAATAAATCGCACGTTATGTAATTGAAGGTGTCGCCATGTTTCTCCTTCGTTGTGCATTGTCTTTGTTTGAGTCGTTCTATCCGTTCTTGTTTTGCCCGTCTCCGGACAATTTGTCGTTGATCCCTAACTGGGAGGTGCGTTTAAAGCCTTTGAAAAACAACATTAGTAGGTAAGATCCTCTTAAGTCCAATAAGAGCCAATATAAAATTTGACGAAGCCCTACCTAGCTAAACCCTAAACCCTGAACCCTTAAACCCCGAACCCTAAACCCCCACGAACCCTAAACCCTAAACCCCGAAGCCTAAACCCTAAACCCTGCTGTCCATCCGGTCTTCAACTTGTTTGGTGACGGTGCCAAACCCCCGATTTGTTGGCGCCTTGAAGTCCGCGAAATCCCGAGTCAACCTCGGATTGCAGACTTGAGTTTGTGAGATATTAGGGTTTATATAGGGTTCACAGAAGTTATTGGGGTTTATATAAAGGGTTTAGGATGGTTTATGGTTCTACAGTGTGCATTGTCGTCGGTATCGTGTTAGGGTAGGGGTTGGGGTAGGCATATGTAGCACTGGAAACTACAAGTACTTTGACGTAAACAAGGGATATCATCTTACGACCAATTCGAAAGGTGGTGGTTGCCCTCCTGATGACGTAACCCATCCTTACCTTAAACCCCGCTCAATCAATGGCTGCCTCTCCCACCCTGTAGCCGCACATTCACTTGACCCCAAACCCTTAATCCTGAGCCCTAAGCCCTAAACCTGAACCCAAAACCTAAACCCTAAGCCTTACAAACAATAAACCGCAAACTCTTTCGAGAAGTGCGCAGCTGGAGCCTGACAGCAAGAAGAAGTCGAGCGATTTCGGCTTAAGTCTTTTCGGGTCCCTTTGAAGGTGGCCTTCAAGAGCCCGTAAAAGCTTGGCTTCAGGGTTCCTACGCCGGTTCCACTATGGACCTAAAGACCCTAAGCCTAAACCCTGACCCCTAACCAATTAACCTCTAACAAACCCTAAACCCTAAAATCCTAAACCCTGAACCCCTAAACCCTAAAACCCTAAACCCTCAAATCCTAAACCCCTGATCCGTGCTCGCAGCTTGGGGATATAGTAGAAGCCAGAAAGTTGGAACATGGATCTAGGAGGATTAGTGCTAGGATCCCTTATACTTTTCCTTAAGGGCATGGGGATATTCATGTTCCAACTTTCTGGCTTCTACTGTAGGAGGATTGGGCTTAGGGAGTTCGGTCTCCTGGGCTTTGCAGCTTGGGTCGGGGTCCAAGGATTCTTTGGGTTTCCCGGGTGTTGCTTAACCTACCCAAACCTACCTTAACCTACCAAAACCTACTTTTTTGTAGGGTCCCTATAAATTCCATATGAAGGTTTATAACTAGAACCTACAAAAAAGTGGGGTATGGTAGGTGAAGGTATTCAATATTCAGTAGGGTTCCTCTGAACTCCATATTAAGGATGCATAAGAGAAACCTGCGGAAACGTGCGTTGGTGATGTCAGGGTTTCCCTTATAAACCCTAAACCCTGCTTTAGGTTTTCAGGCAAGCCGGGCAGTCTGCTTCAAGGCATTAGGGAAAGGATTTCCACACCCTGACCCCAATACGTAAACCTACGGTTGATGATATAAACCCTGCATGACCTATAGGCTTCAGGCTTTCGGATTCAGGGCTTTTAGGATCGGCTTACGATTTAGGCTTCAGTCGTTAAGATTTGAAGCTTTTAGGGTTAGGCTCTAAGATTTGGGGTTCAGAGTTTAGGATTTTTTATAGGCTGTAGATCGGGAGCCGCCCATAAGCTTTGGACGAAATCAACGTTAGAGTTCGATCTGACAACCTCGTACTCTCATAGGGATCCTTAGGGGTGTAGGGGGAGGGGGGGTAGGGGGCCTTAAGGCCCATAATAAGGACTAATAAGGCCTATTTAAGGAAATATAATCCCCTACACCCCTCCCCCCTACACCCCTAAGGATCCCTATGATACTCACAAGCCAGCAGTTCGGTCTTCGGGTTTTCATGGAGTTGTGCCTTATAGTATGGGGGCTTCCTTGGGAACAAATGACCCTCAAAAGTAGGGGCCATACCTTTATAGTATGAACCCTTATATTAGGAAACTGAACCTTGGAAACTTTCAGAGCGCATGTCTTCCTTAAGGTCTATGGCGTTGCTTAGTTTTGGAGTTCTGTCGTGCTCCCCGGCTCTGAGAATCTACTAAAAGCTCTGAAATGGCTTCATAAACAGTTTCGGGTCTGGCGCTGATTCACTAGGACAGGGTTTTAGTGTATAGTGCGGCATCAGCCGAGTTCGTCAGGGGAAAGTCTTCCTCATCATACAGAGCTCTGTATAGGCATCCGACCACTACCACACATGCAAAGTCAGCAACACACCCCAAATCAGTTCAAGGATGCCTGCGCAATTTACGAATCCTCCTGCCCTAAACCCAAAATCTAGGCCCAAAGGGCCTTCAAACATTTGCAAACCCTAGACCTAAAACCCACAGCCCCAACCCCTAACATGAACCCTAAACCAAAGTATTGGGTTCTCCTTCGTCCGAGCAACGCTACCAAGGTCTGATTGGGCTGTTCTCCCGGAGGTGGGATGATGTGCAGTGCCTGCACCGCTTAGGATTTACGGATTACCGGATTACCGTTCGGGAAAGGGAGGTGGAGAGGTTTACGATTAGGCAACCCGGACAGAACTCTCCTGCATACGCCGAAGGGCTTAAGTATTGACCATCATATGTCATATGTCCTGTTCTGGTTCTTGGGGTCCTGACAGTGCCCGCATGCTGGGAACGCCCAGTGATACCCTAAACCTTCAATCCTAAACCCTAACTCCTAAACTTTAAACGCTAAATCCTAAGCCCTAAATGCTAAACCTTAAATCCTAAACCCGAGGCTAAACCCTCACTCAACTCGGCCCTAAACAAACCATAAGCCGAAATTCTCCCTTAGGGTCCAAGCACCCAGTTACTGTTGATGGGCAATATCCTGCATTACCCATTACAAGGAATATACCATAGTTCCCATAGGTTCGAGTCCTTAGGGTCATGCAGGATTTTGTCCATCAGCCGTATCATATACTCTCAAGAACAGTAACCTACATAACTACTATCCCAAGCCCGAGTACTTAATTATTACGTAGATCCTTTGCACCCTTAAGGTAGGAACCATTGCCGTGATTCCCATTTTCAACCGACAGAGACGATCGGCACGCACCATCCTTTTTTCCGGTTTCGTACCTTTCTGGGACATATAGCGTACTGCAGTTCAATGCAAGCTGAATCGAATAACAAAAACTGTGCACCTGAAGCAAAGCTCAATAGCTCACCTTACACCCAGTCGTTGCACAACTGCAGGGGTTTCGGATTTGCTAATGTCATCTCGGAGCTCTTAACAACGGGTCGTCCTCGGGATGGGATCAAGAATAATGCAGGAACGTTAACTCTTGTGTGGGAATGTGGGTATAGAATATCACAAATGCTGGGCAGCTGTTTTGTATAGGCACACTATAAGGGTATCATTTCTGTTTATTCCGACCCCTGAAGTACAGGGTTCTTCCCAAAACTAACAAAACCCCGCAATTCAACCTATAAGAAGCAAGTATACCCTGAACCCTAAACCCTAAACCCTGCACCCTAGAGATCTTCTATAGGAGCCCTTAAAGGAACTCTTCTAGATCCCTTTGAAGGAGCCCCTGCCTGTTCTACATCCCCAGCATTGGAGGCCCTCAAAAGGTGGGACGAAGTTTGGTAGGATGAAGGGTTTTGTACATAAGAATGGTTGTCAATATCCCTTTTTGGGTCATTATTATAACACGGCAACTAATATTTGGGGTACCCAGAAAGGGACCATAATTTTGAGAACTACCCATTGGGGGGATTACCCCACCTACCTTCATCCTACCTTTCGGGGCCCCTGACAGGAGGGGAGAGACCCCCCGGCTCACGTTCACGCCGCCTCATCGCCTTGAGCGAGAGCAAGTAAGTACTGGTCCATCCAAGCAAGCTTCGAGTCCTGGAAGCTATCTAGACCCAAGAGTAACCTAGGAATAAAAAGGGTGCCCTTTTTGGTTATAAGGGAACCTGAAGCCTAAAAAAGGGAATACGGGCCTGCTCTGGGTCCTAGCTATAGTTCTCGTTGTGTTCTTTGCCTTCTTGGCTTGGGACGGGGGGGGGGGGGGTAGTGGGTCGGCTGGGTGGGTGGGGGGGCAGCTCAGTGTTCGCACAAGCTTTGGGATATATATAGGATTTGTGGAGCTTCATGAGGGTTTGTGGCTTAATGATGGTGCCTTCGGAAAAGATGGAACTAGACTCTGGCTTTGGGGCCAACATTCACTGCGAATCCTGAAACCCTAAACCCGTAGTAAGTAGGTAGTAAGTAGACCTAAAAGGGACCCTAATTGGGGTTCTGGTACTTATAGGTCCCTAAAATAACCAGTTACTAAGTCCCCTGACCCTCCAAGTACCTTTACGGGTTCCTTTGGAGCAGCCTTAAAGCAAACCACTGTTTCGGCAAAGCATCCAGAGTCCCCCGGTCGGCTTCGCCGAGCGCGAGCAACAGGAATTGAGAAGTTATCTCCTCAGGGCTATTAGGGTTCGGGGTTTAGGGCCTAGTGGTGTTTCGTGTTTACGGGGCATCTCCTCTGCAAGGTGGTTCGGCTTCCTTTGAGGGGTGCCTTTACTGATGGTCCTTCGGGTTCAGGGTTTGGGGTTTAGTATAGGTTTGGTAGGGGCTTTGATGGATGTTTCCCGGGTTGTGGTTCCTTACCGCTTCTGGCCCCTTTAAAGGGTTCCTTTTTGGAGGTTCCTGCAGGGCTTCCTTTACAGTATTTCCGGGTGTGCGGGAATTTCCCAAAGGTTTTTTGAAAGGGGTTGTATTGGACCTTCGTTCCTGACTTCGGAGTTCGCAAGATGGGGCTTCAGAGGGTTTGACAAGATTAACACAAGTTCATACAGGTCTTATGCCGAGCATTTACACGGTGCTCAATTTTCAGTCCCCCTGTTCTAAAGGATTTCTTGTGACCTAGCCGGCTTCAGGTTGGCTGAATAAAGAGTCCAATTGAGATTTCTTACGTAGCACCAGAGGGCCCTTGTTCACTAGTTCATGGTTGAGATAGGGTTAAACATTTTAATTTTCATTCCTATTATTGGGCTTAACTACCCATAAAAATGAAAAATGTTACCCAACTATGAAAAAAGTTCAGGGGTTCTTTCAGAAAGAATCCTCAATCCTGCCGATTGGGATCAAGATCAAGGTCCCTTCTCTTAGTCTGCTTGGAGGTTCATGGGAAGTCACAAGTAGGGTTCTAAATCGGGTAACCATATACTTATAACTATTATCAGGGGACTCACAACCCTACTTATAACTACCCCTGAACCTCCATGTGAAACTCCGTTGCTAGGTTTTGCAGGTTCGAAGTCCTTGAGCTTCAGGCTTGGGCCGTAATATAGGGGCCTTTATAATTAGAATAGGGTCTTGGGCCTTTATAATTAGGGTCTTGGGTCCCATTATACTATAGTTATAATAAGGAGCTCCCCAAAATAGTATTGGTAATCATTATTAAGGCCCCTATTCTAGTATGTGTTGGACCTTGCGATTTGAGTCTGGCGTTCGGCAATCTAACGCCTAAAGTTGTTCTACCCGGGCCCCTGAAGCGAAACTCCGAATCCCATTCTCCTAACTAAGCTTACCTGTAGAGCCAGGAATCAAAATTTGCATAGCTCTCTTTGTGTCATATTGAACTACCACGCACTGTTTGCAGCAACGGTCGATGTCGGGGCCGTAATAAGTTTTGGGGTATAGTATACTACAGCTATAATAAGGACCCCCCCCCGCAAACAACAAATAGTATTGGCAATTGAATATTTAGGACTCTATGTTATAGTAGAACTCGAGCCTCCGCTGCAACCCTCCACTCCAATGCCCAAAACGTCTGCTGAAATGCCGAAGCGGCATGCCGAAAATCCGTGTACGGCTAGGCTCTCAGGGTCCCCTCAGCATGGACGGTAGATCCGCCCCAAAGGTCTAAGCACGAAGCCCTAAACTTTACCCGGAGCTCGCGACCTCTGTTGTTGAAACCCTAAACCCTAAGCCCTGTTGTTGAAAGGCCGGGATGCGATTTCCTTGGCCTTTCCATACATAACATAAGTATATGGAAGCCGCCGCACCCTATTCCCAATGAAACGGCCTTGGCCCAATCCCAACCTGGCCACGCTCAACCATAACCGCTAACCGCAAATGCCAAATCCCACCCCTCAGCCCTATACGCCCTAAATTCCAAACTCAATCACAAATTATAAATAACCGTAAACCGAAACCCCTCAACCCCAGGGTATGGCACCCAGAGGATTCAAGTCACCTGCTCGACAATCTGCCTTGGATGATGCTCAAAGGGTGTAGGGTTTAGGGCTAGCGCAGCCTTTTTGGTGAAGAGCTTAGAATTCAGGGCTTACCTGTAGCCGAAAAGACCTACTTCTTTAAGGAACTATATCTAGAAACCATAATAAGGAACCCTAAAAAGGTAGGTCTTTCCGGTTACAGGTATGGCTTGTGGGACGATTTTGGGGCATTCTCAGCACTGGCAACTCTACTTAGGAGCCTTAGATCTGGAATAGAAATACACTTACACCTAGATGTTCAAAATCAAAGACATCTGGGAGCTTCCGAAAATAGGGGAGCCTGACATAGTACCCTAAATAGTAGGATCCTCATTATAAGGATCCCAAAATAAGGTACCCCAAATTTTCGGAAACTCACATCTTGCGGCCATCTCACGAGAGAGAAACTGATCGTCTTCCCTTGTGGGCCCTGTCCACTGACATGATAATTAATATGATTTAAGGTATATTCCTTATTTAAGGGATATTGGAGTCTCTGGGGCCCTATACCCATATACTATGTGAATCCCTATATGGGTGGTTGTCAAAATTCGGGTCCCTTTTTGCTTCACTATTACAGTACGGCACCTAATATTTGGGGTACCCAAAAAGGGACCCTAATTTTGACACCCACCCAATTCGCCACCCCCCCCAAGGCCCTCCTCTAAACATTGACGGCCGCCATGTCACCCTGAACCTCGCGACAAAACATCAGATCAGGTGTTAGGTTCTTTCGGTGTCTTCGTAGTTTTGAGAGAGGTTCCGGGGCGTATCATCCTGTGATTCTGTAATGGGCTATTTGGGTGGGGGGGGGGGGGGGGGGTGGTACTGTTTTCGGGCATGTTTATTAGACTTGAAACCACGAAGGGGTCGGGGGTTTCGGGTTGAGGGCAGTAGGTAGGACTGCGGGCTCAATATGTATCTACACAAATTCTGTAGAGGATACGGTTTAGCATTTCGGGTGAGCCTTAAAGGATGCCCATGCTTCGTAAGTGGATAAGAAAGCCTATTGAAGCAATTTCACTCGAAGGGACCAGTGTGCAGGTATCTCTGCTTCTAAGTCGTTCGTTACTGACATGCTGATTGCACCTGCTTACGAATGTCAGGACCCCTGTCACCAGCATGCATTTTCTTACCGTTGCTCACCAGGCACTATGAAGAAGCACGGAATCGCATGCACCCCTGCAGTTAGGAAGCATCGGAAACTCGATCCGGAAAACACAGATGCACTTTAAATTCCTGACCCTCAACCCATCAAAACCCCAAATCCCGAAAATCTATAGTCGGAGGCCTCAAAAGGTGGGATGAAGGTAGGTGGGATATTCGCAAATGAGAGTCCTTATATAAGGGATCCTTGATCCTACCCACCTTCATCCCCACCTTTTGAGGCCTCGAGCCCCATGCCCTGAAACAAGATTCCAACTGACAGATTACTCAGGCCCAAGCTCTAAGCCCCATAAAAGCTAGGAATTACGATCGCTGATGCATCCCTGCACAAAAAGCCCTAAACCCCCGCCCCGAAGTGCCAAGGGTCATGGTCTCCACAGTCTCCAGGGTGTGTACCTGGCGGCTTTTCCCTTGCGCTTCAGGGCTCAGACTTTGGCCTTGTTTGGTTCAGGGGACTATCTGAGCCCTGAACTCTACACCGGCTCCGATAGGGCTTTGCAAGGACGCCAACAAGCCGCTTTCAAGATTTCGGCAAGTATTTTTCGAAAGAAATAGCAAGAAATCTCCGCAGAGCATAAGTCAAAACGAAACCCTAAACTCTATGCCTAGACCCTGAAACCCTAAACCCCAAATGATGTTCTTCGGAAAATCCTCAGCTGAAGGGTACGTTGGGCTCTCAATGAAGGCACCTGTGATCTACCTATCTGTGTATCTATCTGTCTTTTACCTATCCGCCTACCTATCTGTACGATCTGTCTCTCCCGGTCTCCCCATCTACGTATCTATCTTTCCATCTAGCTGTATGTCAACCTATCTGCCCATGTATCTCATCTATCTCATCTATCTATCCATCTATCTATTTGTCGGTCTCTTCATCGATCAACCTGTCTACCTATGTGTCTATCTACCTATCTTATCTTATCTTACCTTACATTATCTTATCTGCGCTCATCTTCTCTACCGATCTGACTATCTCACTGACTACCGAATCATCTAACTATCTATATCTCTCTATCTGACTAGCATCTATTCATCTCACACTCTATCCATCTACCTACCTAGCTAGTTATCTGTCTGTGTATCTAGCTATCTAACAACCCATCTGTCCATCAGCCATCCATCCGTCCATCCATCCATCCTTCCTACTAGCTAAACATCGATCTGTCTCTCGACCCATCTGTCTGTCATTCTATCTGTCTACTCAACATCTACCTGTCTATCCATCTATCTATGCTTCCAACTACGCGTCGTCTATCTAGCTAACATCTACCGATCTGTCTACCTATAAGGCCCTAGGCCCTAGGTTTCAGAACCCCCTGGACTTAGGCAAGGAGCGAGTTTAGGGTTTGGGGCTCAAGACATTAAACTTTCCTAAAGCCCACAGACTCTCGACATACACCACTCCTAAACCCTGTAATAGAGGCGCCTTAATAATTAGAACAGGGTTTTGGGGCCCATTGAACAATAGTATAGGTAATTATGAAGGCCCCCCCAAAAAAGTTCTTAAAATCAACCTCAACTGCTCTGCGCAATTTCGAGTTTAGGCCCCTGCCAGCCCAGTGACCTGTCAACCGCTCACCTCAAACTACCCTAGGCTTTGAATCTCACATGCCCCCCTAATCTCTGAACCCTCAGCCCTATCTACCGCGCATCTAGTGCTCAAGGGCTGGCCCAGCAAAAAGACTGCCCTTTGCAGTTTATGGTAGACTGATAGATAGCCCAAAACGTTTCAAGGATTCTAATTAAAGTAAGGAATGTGGGTTTATTGAGACTAATATAAAGGTCTCAGGGGACTATCATAGAGATCCATGCCCCCACTTCCTCGGATAAACCAGGGAGACAAAAAAACGAAGTGATCAGAGCCCTAAATATTACTAAACCCCAAACGGCTGGTCAGCCTAAGAACCTAAAGGGAACTCCAGAAAGTTTACCATAAAGGGTTTAGGATAATCATTTTCCAACTTTCTGGCTTTTACTTTAAGTGCTGAAAGCCGTCCGGGCTGCTGTATCTGTGATCGCAAGCGCGAGCGATCGCGAGGTGCGACCTCGCCAGGCTTCATGCGGCTTGTCTAAGGCACGATTGGCTGCTGTGGGCGTTCAGATCTACAAAAACAGCAAGCTAGACCGGGTTTAGAGAAGAGAGCCTTTGAACAGTTGTGACTCATGCGGCGTCAGGTTTAGCGGTTTTCGTATTCGGGTTTAGGGTTTAGGGTTAGGATTAGGGGTTTAGGGGCTTTGGATCCTAGAAAAATCCGATGAAGAAACCTTGGGCCTAGGGGTTCCTTTAAATGGGTCTATAAGGGTTAATATAAGGGATTACTTTTGGAGGATCCTGATTAAGAAACCTGAGGGCCTGTATTTGGGTCCCTCATATTTGGGTGGTTGTCAAAATAATGGTCCCTCTTTGGGTACCCTAAATATCCGGTGCCGTATTATATTACCCAAAAAGCGACCATAGTTTTGGTTCCTACATCACCCACCCACCCAGGAACCCCCAACATTGAGAAACCACGTTTGCCTTATATCAATCTTAGAGCTTAGATCCAAAACCCTACAAACTACATCCTGAACTTTCACACCCAAAATTAGCGAGTCGTAGCAGCCCTTTAACCAAACTCAGAATATCAGTTAAGCCCGACCTTAGCCTACCAAAACCTACTTTTTTGTAGGGTCCCTATAAATTCCATATCAGGGTGTATAATAAGAACCTAGAAAAAAGGGTTGGGTTTGGTAGGTTACGGTATGATAGGGACCCGAGCCACTGAACCCCCCAGAGACTCCAATATCCCTTAATTAAGGAATATACCGTAAACCATATTAGGGATCCTACCATAATTTAAGGCATATTCCTTAATTGAGGGATTTTAAAGGCTCTGGCCCCTACCCTGAACCCTAGACCCCAACATTGAACCCTGGGCCCTGGACCCTAAACCCCGGACCCCGAAGGCCTGGTGATTAACTTGGAGATACAAAAAGCCGCATTCGACGAAGAAAAAACCATATGCCTAACCCCTGAACCCTTAGCCCTGACTCCTAAATCCTGAATCCTAGGCCCTTAACCCGAAACGATTCAAAAAAAAACGCAAAACCCATATTCAACAAAGGGCCGGCCCTCGTTACGTATGCGTTTTCTTTGTTGAATTTGGCGGTTTCTTCGGTGGATTGGGTGAAAAAGATCGAAAAGCCATGTTCATCGAATGAACCAAGGTTTAAATGCACATGAGATAGAGTGTTTAGGGTTTAGGGTTACCGGATGACATAGCGGGCTGAAGTGGTAAGTGTGACCTTTAGAGGTATCTTTCTGGGGTCTGTGGGTTTGAACTAGGGTTTAAATGCGGGACCCGAAAACAAAATAGTTCGTCTCCCGATACTGCCAATAGAAGGTAAAGCTCGGTAACGAACTCGGCCGACAAATAGAAGTCTTCGAAGTCGTTGCATGCATGCCAAGGCTGTGGAGGATGGTATAGCACAGTCCGGAGGAACTGCCAGGGATACGATTACTAGCGATTCAAACCTTACTCTAAAACTCACTCGAAGCCGCCATGATTCTAGAACCCAAAAACAGTCCTCGTAGAACGCATAGAGGACCCCCAGAAACCCTTTCAGACCCTGCACATAACTTTCAAGCCCTAAGTTTAGGGCCGCGGCCAATTTTTAAGCTGCCCCTCGATGATGCCTGAGAGAGAGGTGCTGGTGCACTTTTGCGCCTACACGATCCCTGAGGAGAACTAGCAGTATGTAACAGTTCCGGGCTTGCTTCGGCTGCTACTGCTAATGCTACTGCTGCCGCTGCTGCTGGGCCTACGACTACCACTACTAGTATTGTATTGTTGTTACTACCGCTTACTACTGCTTACGACAACAACAGCAGCAACAACAACAACTACTACTACTCCTACTCCTACTCCTACTCCTACTCCAACTCCTGCACCTACTCCTACTCCTACTACACGACGACGACTACGACTACGACTACGACTACGACTACGACTACGACGACGACGACGACTACTACTACTGCTACTGCTACTACTAGTACCACTACTACGACGACTACTACGACTACTACTATACTACTATACTACTACTACTACTACTACTACTACTACTACTACTACTACTACTACTACTACTACTACTACTACTACTACTACTACTACTACTGTAGTAAAGGAACTGCAGCAACAACAACAACAAAACAACCAAAATATCTAAAACAACAACAGCAACAGCAACAACAACAAGAACAAACAGGATAAAACCAACAACACGAATTACAACAACTACTACTCCTACTCCTACTCCTACTCCTACTCCTGCTCCTACTACTACTACGACTACTACTGCTACTACTACTGCTAGATACATGCTACATACTACATAATGCATGCCACATACCACTGCTACTACTGCTGCTGCTGCTAGTGCTACTACTACTACTACTACTACTACAACTACTACTACTACTACTACTACTACTACTACTACTACTACTACTACTACTATTACTACTACTACTACTACTACTACTACCACTACTACTACTACTACCACTACTACCACTACTACCACTGCTTCTACTACTGCTACTACTACTGCTACTACTACTTCTTCTTCTACTACTCCTACTACTGCTACAGCAACTACTACTGCTACTGCTACCCCCTACCTCCTACCTCTACTCATATCTCTACTCCTACTCCTACTCCTACTCCTACTCCTACTGCTGCTGCTCCTGCTCCTGCTCCTGCTACCGCTGCTGCTACAGCGACGACTACAACTCCTCCTCCCAACTACTTCATTTGACATGTAAATTTATGTTGCTTCTTGGGGTTTATGTACCGATAAGAATGTAAACATGTTTCCCAGCTATGACAAAGAGGGGGGTCGTGGAGAAGGTATCAACGTTAATTCGGTTGAGGCTTACGAGTATACTACGGAACAACAAACAGCGTAGCAACACAACAAAAACTACTGCTGCCAAGGGGAATACTCCTCAGCATAGCTCATGGAAGCAATACTTATACTGTATATGTAAGCTTTGCGGTATATATATATATATATATGTATATATACACACACAAATGCGTATGCAAGGATGTAGATGTGTGTCTATATGTGCATCAACCTAGTACCTGCCAATATAATAATAGTATACAGTAATATATATATATATATATATATATATGTATAGCAAATACATAGACATATAGAGTGCCACGGTAGTGACAATCACCAAAGTAGTAAAAGTAGCAAGCAAAGTGTTGTCGACAAGCCTCCCATCCCCGCACCTGGCAAAGGCACAGCAACCATACCTGGTTTTGGTTGTTGGGCGCTTTAGCCGTCAGTTGAGTGCGGCACGGTTTTATATATGTTTTGGATGGTTTTGCCAGGGTAGGCCCCAAATTTCAGTCTCGGTGTGGGATTGAAGTTTAAAATTCTTGAGGGCTTCCTCTAAAACTCTGTCGGACTTGGGCTTTAGCATTTGCTCTTAGGGTTCAAGGGTTTAGGACTCTAGGCGTTACGGATGTTGAGGCTGTCAGGTTTGTCAAAACGAAGCAGCTCGGGTTCAGGGCTTAGGTAGCTTCTTGCTATTGCGACTATTGCCTACCACTTCCACTACCACTACCAGGACGACGACGACGGGTACTACTACTACTACTACTACTGCTGCTACCACTACCACTACCACTACCACTACCACTACCACTACCACTACCACTACCACTACCACTACCACTACCACACTCCCACTACCACTACCACTACCACTACCACTACCACTACCACTACCACTACCACTACCACTACCACTACCACTACCACTACCACTACCACTACCACTACCACTACCACTTCCACTTCCACTTCCACTTCCACTTCCACTTCCACTTCCACTTCCACTTCCACTTCCACTTCCACTTCCACTTCCACTTCCACTTCCACTTCCACTTCCACTTCCACGACGACTACTACTACTACTACTCCTGCTACTGCTGCTGCTACTGCTGCTGCTGCTACTACTACTACTACTACTACTACTACTACTACTACACTACTCCTTTTACAAGCACTACCACTAGTGCTACCGCTACCACTGCCACTACCTCTACCACTACCTCTACTACCACTACCACCACTAGCACTACCGCTACCAGTAGCAGAGTAAGAGTACCAGTACCAGTGCCTGTACCAGTATCAGTACGATTACTACTACTACTACTACTACTACTACTACTACTACTACTACTACTACTACTACTACTACTACTACTACTACTACTACTACTATACGACTACTACTACTACTACTACTACTACTACTACTACTACTACTACTACTACTACTACTACTACTACTACTACTACTACTACTACTACTACAACTACTACTACTACTACTACTGCTACTACTACTACTACTACTACTACTACTACTACTACTACTACTACTACAACCACGACGACTACTAGTACTGCTGCTGCACTGCTGCTGCTGCTAGTGCCACGACTACGACCATGACGACGACTACTTCTACTATTACTGCTGCTGCGACTACTACGACTATCACTACGACTACGACTGCGACTACGACCACGTCGGTGGTGGTGGTAAGGCGACTGCTTCTGCACCGCCGACCGCCGAACGAAGCAAGATAATGATTTAGGATTTAGGACCCAGCCTTTCGGGTTTGAAGGTTTAGGGGCCAGGATTTCAACCCCTGGCAGTGCATGCATCACCGACTACTGCTATGGCAGACTGCTACAACAGCTTCTGCAGGCCGTACTTCGACTGCCGCAGGTGACCCGCAGCCGCTGTGCTGTGTCCCAACAATCACATCACTGATGCTCGAACGATTCCTCCTGCGAGCTTCACTTCTTAGTGCAATCCCTGTCGAACGCACTTCCATAAAGTAGAAACACAGACGCACTGATATGACCAAAGTCACTACGCCCTACCTCCACCCTGAAGACCTCAATCTCTGCACACGAATGTCGAGGCTTTGAAAAATTGGAAAACAAAGGCTTTGGAGTGTAATGTAGTATACGTGCAATGAAGGAAGCCTTAGGAAGAACATGTGCACTTACTAAGACTCCTATACCAAACCTTCTTGCAGCCCAGAGAGGCTCCAAGCAACTTTCCGTTCATCGTGGCTGCCCCAAGCAGTCGTGAGCCGACGCTTCAACAAAGTTGCTTAGGGTGGGGGGGCTTTCAGTCCAGGCTTCAGCTTAGGTATGAAGATGATAGCTGTGTAGATGAGGAAACGGATGCTGATGGTGATGTCGATAAGGATGACAGTGATGATGACGGCGGTTGCACGTATGGTACTAACCATGGTGCTGATGGTGGTGGGAAAGCAAGATGGCTGTCGTCCTCGATTCTGTGTATCTACTGCTGCTACCATCCGTCTTCGGACTCCAGGATGTCAATTTGGGGGCCTTCATGATTAGAATAGGGTTTTGGGGTATATTATGCCACAATCGCGATAAGGAGCTCCCAAAGTAGTATTGTTAATTGTTTAGGCCCCTGTAGTAGCTTGTCAAATTTCCGGTCTTTGATCAATAGGCACTTGCAACGACCCGCCCCCCGCTTAACGGCTTGAGGGCTCCTACCCAAGCTGAGCCTGCCAGCCAAGATGGCAACAGATGCGGCGAAGATCTGCAAAATTCCAGGGTTTACGGGCTTCATAATTAGAACAGAATTTTGGGGCCCAGTAGACTATAATTCTAACAAGGAACACCAACAATAGTGTTGGTAAGGGAGAGTCTCGAAACAAGCCTGGCTGCCTGCAAGCGGGATCCCATCAAGCGCTTTCTTAGCTATACTGTTGATGGACACAGTCCTGCATTACCCATTATAAGGAATATACCATAGTTCCCATAGTTTAGAGTCCTTAGGGTCATGCAGGATTTTGTCCATCAGCCGTACAATTTCAATGGCGTGTCGTGGACCCCAAGTCCAAAACCCAAACCGGCAACGAAAACCCGTAACACACTAAACCAGACATTGATGACGGCTTTTGAAGCCCTGCCCTAAACCCTAAACCCTAAACCCTCAAATCCTAAAACCCTAAACACCTACCTGTGCTGCCTGTCCTCTTACCAGCCTGCCTGACCGTCGTCGGACCCACTGTCTGTCTGTGTGTCTGTCTGTCTGTCTGTCTGTCTGTCCGCCTGCGCCGATATATCTGCTTCTGCATCCACTTGTGCCTGTGTCTGCCGCCCATGTACATACCTACACTAGCCCAGCTGTCGTCTCTGTTGATGTAGCTTTGTTGGTAAGTTTAAGGCCAGGATCGTTTAACAAAAACTGCGATGGTGACTACCTGAAGGACCAAATGACCCTTAAAAGTAGGGGCCCTATACCCATATACTACGAATCCCTATATGGTATATGAACCTTAAACCCGTTGAGATTTCATTTCGTCCTTAAGGTACCGTAAACCCTAAACCCTTAAACCCTAAACCCTGAACCCTAAACCCCTAACAGAACCTCAAACCCTTTTAGGGTTCATTTCGTCCTTCAGGTACAGGTAAGCTCTAAACAGCTCGGCCCTTCGCTGCGCAGTAAATCACTGGTTGGGCTTTAATGGCTCCTTTAAGAGTTAAGCATGACATTTCTCTAGAATCTACTTGGAGGGGCGGGGGACTTAGTGACTGGTTATTTTAGGGACTTATAAGTACCATGACCCCAATAAGGGTCCCTTTTAGGGTACTTATAAGTCTACTTACTGCCTACTTACTAAGTCCCCCGACCCATTGGCTGGCATGATTTCAAGTTTCCCTGTATCGCACGCCCGTCACTTTCTGGCAACGTCGAATCATGGCAAAGCACGCATGCAGAGCCGACCGAAAGCATGCAACCAGAATTGCCCCTGTGAGGAGAATAGACAGCGTCTTACGACTTCGCACTTTAGTCGGAATCCCTTACAAAACATTCCATTAACCGATCTGCCTATTAAGTATTGGGAACCTCAACTAAGGACAACGCTGCTTGCAACTTGCAACTGCCAAACACACGGCATATTCGCTGCTTTGGACCAGGGAGCCAAAGGCCACATCAAGGTTCAGGGATTTATGGGCTAGACCGAAGAGTAACCTAGGAATAAAAAGGGTGCCCTTTTTCGTTTAAAGGTGGTTATAAGGGAACCTGAACCCAAAAAAGGGAAATAAGGGCTTACTCCGGGTCCTAGTGGGTAATTCCATGTCAGGTCGCGACGGCCACTGTTGCCGCAAACACTACTGTCAGGTAAAAACCAAAAGCAAGCTCCACGTCAGCTTCTGAAAAAGGTCTACGCAGTTGAACGAGCCCCCAAACCAGCAGCTACCAGTCGGGCTGTAGCAGGGTAACTCCAGGTGAAACTTTTTTGCCCTAAACCCTAATCCCCTAAATCTTAAGCCCTAAACTACCCGCGAACATTCAGGCACCGGCCAAACAAGACCTCAAACCACTACAGTTTGCATTTTCGGGGTTCAGGGTTCACGGGTTTTCGGCTAGGGGTTCAGGGATTTCGGTTGCGGAGATGGAGAGAGGTCGAGTGTGTGAGCATGGAAGCCCAATCTCTTGGGCAAAGAAACCCTGAAATCCCAGGATGATTCCGCGAGGGTTCTTGAGATAGGTATATATGGTTGGATGTAGAGTTTAGGGCTTGTTTAGAGTATACGGTTTCGATTATCGGGTTTAGGACAAGGTTACGAGTACCATAGCTATTTGTAACGGAAGTAAGGCCTGATGCTCGCTGCTCAGCCTGATGAACAGGCACCCGGACTGAGGGTTTAGGGTTTGGGGTGGCTCTTTGGTGAAGCTATTTGACGGTTCTGTCAGTGCTTTCTGATACTTAGATTTGTCACGACAGCTTGCTCTTCCTCCGCACCCTAAACCCTAAACCCTAAGACAAAACCTCCTGTTTGATCCACAGTCTCCTGACAACCAAGGACCGCCTTAACCCTGAACACCATGCAAGCCCCAACCCCTGAACAAGAGATGTCTTTAGGGTTTAGGTTTAGGGTCTTTCGTTTTAGGGTTTAGGGCTTAGGGTTTAGGGAAGGGGCCCTTCCTACCAAACCAGAAAAGAGGAGGGCCTGGGGAACTGGAAGTGGGCTTTGCATATGCCTTCTGCTAAGATTGTATTTAGGGTTTAGGGCTTAGGGTTTAGGGGTGTATACACCCGAAAACCTTGATGTATTCAAGCTCCTATCGCAACCCCCGTTGTAATTAGGAAAACCCGTCCCCTCGCATCATATGATTATGAGATGTCTGGTCAGCTTGTGATCTGGCCAGAGCTGAACAGATGGCTTAATGCACGAGAGTGAAAGCCCCAGAACGAAAGACATAAACCATTCTGGGTGGTTGTCAATATTAGGGTCCCTTTTTGGGTCGTTATTATAATAAGCCACTAATATTTAGGGTACCCAAAACGGGACCATGATTTTGACAACCATCCATATTAGGGGTGTAGCAATTACAGGGCTTATGGGGTCTCGGGTTAAGAAAGACCCAAATTTCCAAAGATGGAAACCCCAGTCCCGAAACCTCAACCCTAAACCCTACATCCTAAACCCCCAGAAATCCTAAACCCTCAACCCTGAACCTCAAGCCGGAAATCCCAAATCCAGAGTCCATTTTCATGAAGCCCCAGACCGGATTGCCAGAATCTTTCTGCCTCAATAACCTATACTGAACTTAGAACCCTGGCAAAAATCATAATTTTAGCTGTTTCTTCGGGATTATAATAACCAGAAATGAAAAACATTTCTAATATATTTCTAAGTACCCCTAAGCAACCGGGACTTAGGGTTTAGGGTCTTTCTGATTCTTAGTTGTCCAGTATCCTGGCTATGCAGGGCTTATAGTACCCAAACAAGGTTCAAGGTTGCATATTTTCACTACTAAGTCTCCAAAAACCAGAGTTGAGGGCTTACTTGGAGGGTCGTGGGACTTAGTCAGTAGGTAGTAAGTAGACTTATAAGTACCCTAAAAGGGACCCTAATTGGGGTTATGGTACTTATAAGTCCCTAGAATAACCAGTTACTAAGTCCCCCGACCCTCCAAGTAGGGTCTTTCTTATGCTGAATTTGTATCCTGGGGGAACTGAAGCTTAACCTCTTGGGTTATGCCGAGGTTGTAGTACCCCGGAGAGAACAAAGGTTACATACTCTGCCGCTAAGTCTTCAACAACCAGGCTCTACACAGACCCAGTAATTAGGCTCTAAATTCTCCGATTGAGGAAGTAAGGAATGCATGGCCCTCCCCAACACCCCCAGCTCCCAAGCGCTGTTTGAGAGAGCGGAGAGATCCAGAAACACATCGGGATCCGGCTCTAAGCGGGCGCAGATTGCGCAGATCCTGAACTTGAGGTGTTTCATTTGCATATAGGCTTCCTGAATGACGGACACGAACCATAAAAAGTTGAAAGTTGTGAAGCCAGGAAGGGAACTGCATTGTAGGGTATGGGTGGAGTTTGCGTTTCATGGTCGACTGAACCAAACCTTACATCCTCAAACCCATGAGCCATGAAAGCGAAAACCCATAAAACCCTAACGCCTAAACCCATAAGCCCTACAGTAAACCCGATAAAGTTGGAAACCGAATCAAGGCCAAATAGTGTTTGGATTCCCTATATATTGCTCTTAAGGATTGAGGCTGTTGGGTTTCCAATTTTTTGGCTTCTACTGTAAAGCATAAACCGCCAGCCCTGAGCCCCAAGCCCTAGATTGCGTCCTTCAGAAGTTGGCCGATTCTTGCACACTGCCTTCATTGGGTTTGTACCATTTAGGGGCTAGCCAAGCTTAAGAGTTCAGCTTCGGTGTTTAGGGTTGTTGGACTGGGGTTTCTGTGTCGGATTTTTGGAAACCCAAACACTAAAACCGGGAGATTTAGGGTTTAGGGTTTAGGGTTTTGGGTTTAGGGTTTAGGGTTTTGGGTTTAGGGTTTTGGGTTTAGGGCTCAGGCTTCAGCTCTTCACCTTTGGGTTTGGTCGCTGACGCGGCCCATGCTCAAACGTCGACCGCACACATCCCCCCAAACCCCAAAGCGAAACCTTTAGTTGGAAGTATATGATCTGCTATATACTACTCTATACCCCCTTAGAACCATAATAAAAATGAGGTGTTCAATATTCTCTTGGGTTTTTTGAACAAAAATGAAAA